GCTGTGTATTTTGCTGAACCAAAGGTTAAGATTTCAGTATCTTGCTGGCTGCTGAATGTTAATGCCAGTGGGATTCCCATGTTTCCTGGGCCGCTCATGTGAAAACCAGGGCCTTAAGTGAGACGACGATGGTGCTGAAACAGAGGAGTTGGAGAAAGCCAACTGCTAAAACTCCCTAGTATGCTCTCTACTGCACCCTGCTTTCATGAGGAAGACAAATGCCCCGCGACTCAGCTCTCATTGCTCATGGACAATCAGGATGCAAGCACAACACAATGTGGAGGTTAAAATACGTAAACAAAAAGAAAAGCAAAGGGCTAATACTTAGAGGAAAATGCAGGAATTCTTTGAGTTGGATCATCAAAAATCAGAGGACTAACTGATACAGATTTTGGACATCTTAGACCACAGAGGGAAGAGCATCATTTTTGGATAAGGCCAAATTTCTAGTTATGATATGGTTAACTCTTCGGCACATAATGTAACAGCTCAAGATACTGACCACAAAATGGCAGGCTAGGCTGGCCAGTGAAACCTGGACTGAATGCTAAATTCAGCTAGGTAACCATGAAAAACCAGAAAACCCTTGGCACAAAGTGGGGGCTATCAGTGCTACCGGGGCTCCAAGAGGCTCAACCTTCCTGCAGACACCTTCACTGTGCCCCTGATGGGATCCACCACGTGTGCTTTGCCAGAGAGGGCACACATGTGAGCAAAGCACTGGAATCTTTCAGAAGTGCTTTCGTGACTGTCTTCACCAGAGTGAGATGCTCGTGGAAGGGACTAGCTTCAAAATGGGATTCTCATCCTTCCTTGGGATGGAAGGAGCCTCAGAGGCCATAGTCACCAGCGCTTAGACATTTCTAGTTGTGGATAAGTCATTGTGAAGCTCCCAACAATGGAAATGGGAGGCAGCCAGCACAGGTGAACTAAGGGGGCCTGACTACACTGCCAAGCTAGAGAAAGGGTCCCTCTGCATCCAACTGCCAGCGTGAGTCAGTTCATGACCTGGAACCCTTCAATGTTAGGCATGTGTAAGGAAGAACTTCATATAACATCAACACTCATATACCATGAACTTCCTCTTCATCTTCTCTTAAGAATCTACACCCATTTATCATGGTAACTCCACTGGGTAAAGGAAAATACACCTTTGGGGATCTACTCGTTCCAGCCTTGAGCTACCTAATTCCTGAGAACCCAGAATGCCACTATTTTATGCTAGTTAGAATGGAGCCTTTGCAGGCTGGGTGATGGACAGCTATCTACAAGTGGCAGAATACTCACACTGACTGGTCTCTTAAGCCAATGGATAAGAAGGACCATTAAAATAGCAAGAGCAAATGCAAGCTGGAGCAGTAATCTCTTTACCAAAAGGCTAAGCTGAGTTACAGAGGTCCTAAGTCTCTTGGTGAGTTACAGAGGTCCTAAGTGCTACAGAAGATTACAAGTTGCAGGATAATGAGACAGTACATTTATATGTGTGAGTTTAGTGATGGTGTGAAGCGAGTGCTCAGTGATTACTAGTATTAGCTATTCTGATGCTTTCTATCACCACCTCCCCACATGCAAGCTACAAAAGAGACTAGCACAAGAGACCGACAGTGTTTAAGGATGTCAGTGGATTATAATATATGAATCATGTAGAACTGCTGATTTGCAGGTGCTTTTCCAGATGCACTCTCCTTTCCTACAGATTAACATAACCCCTGGTACCTGGAATATAGCTATTGATTAATAGCTATATTTTTTTCCTTTATGGTGCACAAAGACTACATGAAGCAGTTCCCATTCTCATGGCAGGAGCAGCCTCAGTGATAAATTATCTTGACATCTCTCTGATGTGATCTGGTTCATCAGGATTTGTCTGTTTCACAGGACATCACCCTGACAACTATGCTGATGACATCAAGCTGACAGGACTTGAAGAGCAGGTATTTATGTGTGTTAGATGTACATGCTGGACATAAAAATACAGTGGCCTGCCACTTCTGCCAAGTTTTCTGAAAGTCAAAGGCCTGTGGCATGTCAGGATATCCCCTCCGGCATAAAAGACATGTTGCTGTTCCTTGTCCATTCCCCCCCATCCCTTAGGAAGGCCTGATGCTTATTGAGCCATTTTGGATTCTGAAGACAGCATATACCACATGCTGGTGTCCTGACTCATTTATTAAGTGACCTGAAAAGAGAAGGCTCTCCAGTTAACCCAGGCCACAGAGAAATAGGCTCTGGTTGATCTTGTGGGGCCCTAAGTGTCTGTGCTTAAGGCTGGAGCAGGAAAATCATAATGAAAAACTTTAGGATTTGGGGACAAAACCATGATCCTAGCAGCAAGATCATGTTCCGAGCTTAGCACTGGGCTCTGGTAGAGACTATATGCCTGACCATGGGTCACTAGATATCCAAGTGACTTCGCTGTCCATCAACTAAGTATCACATGATTCCATAAGCCACAAATTTGGACATGTCCAAAAGAATTCTACCTCCAGATGGAAGTGATGTGTACAGAACACTTGCCACACAGCCACTCCTTCAACAGACACATGAATTCCCAATGATATCAACAGTTAACAGAAGAAAAAAGTCCAGCCTAGTGCACAAATGGCTCTGTGAGATAAACTGGCCCACTCTAGAAGTGGACTGCTATAGGATAATCTACTTAAGGGATGACTCTGAATGAGTATAAAAGAGAAATCCTTCCAGGAGACAGAACTTCAAGTAAGGTATCACACTACCTCACTGGAGGTCAGGATCTAAGCCGATCCCTGGATGGTGGATAACTGGAACAAGAAAGACAGGAAATACTTATGCTCCATGTGTATGCTCACCAGACAGCACTCACTGTTAAAAACCCCGGAGATGTTGCTGAGCCCTTTCCTTCACTACCCCAGTGCCGGCCCAATGAGCCCACGAGCATAGTGGCCATGGTAGCACAGCAATGGGATCTCACCACAATATTTGCTTCACTTTGCCTACCGTGCCTCTAGGAATACCACCTCCATCCAGGGATTTACTGGAATGCTTTACCTCAGGCAATATTCCTCCAAACAACGCACTTCACAGAAAAAGAAGTCTGGCAATGGGGTCACATACCCTATACCCTAGAAGCAGTGGGCACTACAGATTATGCAACAGTAGGGTGCCTACTGGGGATCTAGCTCTGGTGCTAAGGCTGGGGTGTCATCTTGGGGGATGAGGTAAATGTTCTCAATCAATAATGAGCATTAAACAGTGACATTTTTCCAATAGCCAAAAAATGAGTCCAAGTTATTCCATTAACTCTTGCCTAGTAAATGGTCTCCTACTTTAACTCTTGCTTCCTTCCTATTCTCTTCTCCACTTTGTAGCTAGTGATTCTCTCAGAGTACAAATCCGACCACATCACTCTCCACTCCAAGCCCTTCAGTGACAGAATTGAAATGAGGGGTGACTCACCTACCCAATAACTATTCCTCCCTTCCTCCTTGCTACTATGGCTCCCATTCTGTGGGGTTGACTGCTTATCCCCTACATGACACAGGAATGATCTGGATTGATCTGAGTGGTTGCAGTAAGCCTATTTTTCTCTTACTTGTGACTGAGTTAAGAAGGAGCATGCAACAAGGCACGTTTTCAGAAGCTCTTGGGAAAGTTTTCCTCACTGATAAAGGGAGACACACAGGAAGAAACAGTCATCCTTTTCCCACTGGACCTTGTTATACCTCCATGTGGCACTTAGAACTGGGGAAGCCATTTTGGCAACAAGAGGGGAGCTAGGCTAAGAGACAAAGTTGACACATGGCTGAGTGGGAGACGTAAAGGAAACAGAGTTTAATAATGCCCAAAGTTGATGAATTAGCCAACTCTGGAACTGTTCCTCTATGTCCATCCCCTCTCTCTAATCATTACCACTTTATGTCAACTTATTAGCACCTCTGTTTTTAAACTGTTGCAGCCCCTAACTGTACTCCCTGCATCTACTCTGGTCTCCCCACGGGTTCTTCTCTATTTAGCAGCCAGAGATATTTTTTCCAAAATATAAATCTGGTTGGTCCATGGCTTTTCACTTCACTTATGATAATCCACATCTACAGTCTGGCCTAGTCTTCTTCCACAGTTTCCTCTCTTGCCACCTACCCAAGCCTTTGCCCTCAGCCACACATAGGCTTTCTTTATTTTTCGAATGTGCCCTTCTCTTACCCACCCTCACTAGTGATAGTTTGGCCCTTGTTATTTCCAGTGCTTGGAACATTCCCCACTCTCCTTTACCAATGCCCTTGCCTATGATTAGGCCTCAGTTAAAACATAATTTCTTCAAGGAAGTTCTGAACTGGGATCAGAACTGGTGGGCTGGACACACCAACCGGTAGATCCGCAAACATGTTCAGCTTCCTTAAAGGAGTTATTAAAAAAAAAAAAATACAAATCTACCACACATGAGGCCTGTGCTTGGTAGTTTTCCATGGTCCTCATTTCTATACTGATTTACTCCTATTGTCTGTTACGTAAGACACTCTGGGACCCCTGTTTCAGACTCCAAAAAGCTACCTCTTAATACAGACTCCTACAACTATGCACCAGTCCTTCATGTCCTATATTGCTGTCTGAACTTAAACAGTTATTTTTGTTCTTGTTTATGGGGATTTTCCTACTAGACGGCAAGTTCCCTGAGTGTAGGGACTGGATCTGTTTTTGTTCCCCAGCAAATCCCTGGCACCTAGCACATATTAGATGCTTGATAAGTATTTATTAAACAAAGTAATAGATGCGATGATGAATGGATGGATGGATGGATGGATGGATGGATGGATGGATGGATGGATGGGTAGAGGAGAGAGGTAAGGCAAATCTTATTTCATTTCCTGTCTATAATCACATAGGAAAGGAGTCAGATAAACCTGGTAGAAAATTTCTCACCTCTTAACCCGTTAGAAACCTGTTTTCTACCTCATGACCCAAAAGGCCTGACCTTTGGTCTGCCTTCCTCCCTGCTGACATGCCAGCCTCAGCAAAGAACTCACGTTGAATTCCTCTCTGAAGAGCTTATTGTCATCAGCCATTCTCCGGTTAATCTCCTCTTCCAGCTTGTCCACGGGCAGGGGTGGATACTTCCTGTTGGTGCTTGGGGACCTGGCCAGAAGTGGCACGCTCTGGGGTTCTGCAGTATACAAGGGGGGAGGTTGGTCAGGTGCTCTGGAGACCAAATTGGGGATTCTACCTCATGCACCAGGCCTCTAAGAACTAGGACTGCTTTCTTCGAGTCTTCCCTCTACCCCTTTTAGGATGGGGAAATCCCTAATTTCTTGGTTTTTTTCTCCATGAAGGTTCCCCAGGTCATTGAGGGGTGCCTTACCCACATCCTCAGTGCGGCCATTGGATAAGCGGAAAGAATTGGAATGGCTCCCAGCTTGCTTGTATTTCTTAAACCTAATGAGAAAATGTTCATAGTGAAAAAGTAAGCACAGAGTCAAGGGAGACCAATCACTGGCTTCATATTTCCACATATCAATTCAGCTTCCTAAATCTCCTTTACCAAATAAACATGTTCTTTTACAGACAGGTCCTGCACATGCTGAGCCAACTCCATTTCATGGTGACCTAGTGCCTCTGGATGTTCCTGCTCATCCTCAGCACACTAGAATCCAAATGAGGTGCCATAACAGTATATTCTGGCTTGTATGGCTCCTCTGTGTGGCTCCAAGTCCAGGACTCACTGGAGATGACCACCACACCAGGTGGAGAACATTTAAGTGGGTAGAATACAGTGGAGGGGAGATAAGAATATCCCTATCAAACTAAAATCCTGGTATTTCCCCAGTGCAATCAGAGAGAAGCCCAGAGCTTCAGATGGGTGGGCACAGGTCTGGCTACAAGTCTCCTGCAGAACGGTGGAGACACATCACAAATTGTAGGGGTGTGTAAGGTTCCCCTCTCTTTATCCCTGCAAAAGAACACAGGGAGCAGAGAGCAGCTTAAACCAAAGATAAGGGTGGAGTTAATCCAAATTAGCCAGGGCAGTAACTTCAGCAGGAAGAAGACAAATGCACCTCCCTTTTCTCTCCGCTGGGTTCCCCCCCTTCCTTGCCTTTTCTCCCTGTTTGAGTGTAATATCTAGAGGACCCTGAAGAAAGTCAGAAAGGGGAACTCTGTAATTCACATGGTTCAGTTTAGCACACCAGGCTCAGGGATCCTAGATCCTAGGTTTGTCCCCAACACCTCCCCCTCCGCCAACTAGAAATAGAATAAGTCTCTATTTACCATATCATCTCTAATCGGGTACTGTTGAGGGTTGCTTCAGTAAGGCTAGATCTGAGGGTCTTAAATAACCTATCAGTAATAACACAGACTATATAGCTTTTCCCTCAACCTCAAACTACCTTCCTGGGCTTTAGGTTAAACCGGAATTGGGGAACTGGATTTGGGCAGATGGAAGCAAAGGGGAGGGGCTGGGTCTTGAAGAAAACTATGTAGAGCTTTTAAACCATTTCTATGTAGAATTTTAATCTTAATATCATAAACCATTCCCCTCCATTCACTGTCCTTATCCTACTATCTTCTGGACTGTGTGGGCTTAATGAGACCCTGGGGTACTGAAGCAGAATCCAAGAGAATGCAGAAGCTTTAGCATTCTCACCTTAGCATTTAGCATGCTCACCTTAACATGTACAGAACTATGATAATAAACACGATCACTAGCAGAGAGGACAGGGCCACCATCACTGCAATAATTGGCGTCTCATCTGAAACCGAAGAGAACAAAACATGTCATTACCATTGTGTGCAATGGAGGGCTCAAGTCAGCTGCTCGGGGAAACACCCAGATAAGGAAGAAGGGCTCATTCAATGCTTCTGTAGCTGGCAGGGCATGGATAGAGTGAGAGAACATTTCCCACTGCCACCCCAGGGCCAGTGTGGGTGGAAGGGGAAAAGGTAGGGTGAGCACCTAGGATGATACACCCATCCCATCTCTGACTTATACATTTGTTTACTCTGTCTCCCTGCATTAGATTAAAAACCCTCTGAAGGCAGAGACTTTATTTCCTTCATTGCTATAGAGCCTAAAACAGTGCTTAGCACATAAAAAATACTCAAATATTTGAAAGCATGAACACATCAATCCTGATGGCAAGCTGGGTGTGCAGGGCTAACGATGTACTCTGTCCCAGGCTCAATGGGCTCCATCTAGAGGAAGATGGGAGAGGAAGGAAAAAGGACAATTTTCCTATTGTAAACACAAATGGTTTCCTGGCACAGAGAATACTGTTCCTGATTAAAGCAAGGAGACAGTATTAGATCCTTAAGCACTATGTCTCTAAAAATGCTGGGTACTCTTTTCTACCACTTTCAACAGCCACCTTTTACCAGGAAGGAGCCCCAACTACAGCAACATCTGGCTTGAAGACAGAACAACTCCTCCCTTCATTCCACAGGGCCTGGCTTCCTAACCACCCAATACTTAGCCTCCTTTCTCATGGCAGCTGACCAGGTGCTGACTCATCCTCCTCCAGGCCCACATCTCCACCATGAACACACACAACCACTCTGAGTTTGTAACCATCTTCACCATTTCCTGTTCTGCTAAAAGGGAGGGCATGTCCCTCCCATGTAAAGGTCAATCCTATCACATATGGTCTGGATTACATTCATTACTGTCACCTCAATGACTTGTCTTCTTGCCCAGTAACTGTATGCCAGGCACTGCTCCAGACTCTGGGAACAGAGAAGTGATTAAGCAGACTTGTGAGCCTACATTCTGGGGGAAGCAGCAGCACACTATTCAGAAACAAGTAAACATACAATTTCAGACAGGGACAAGTGCTATGAAGAAAAGAAGAGTAACAGGATAGAGACTGATGGGTTGGAGGGGGTTATTTTAGAGTAGTTTGGGAAAGTCGGAAGTGCTTATACTGAGCAGAGGTCTAAATAATGTGAAGATGTAAACCATGCAAAGATCTGGGCAAGGAACTTTCTAGGCACAGGGAATAGCAAGCATAACACCCCTTAGCAGCTTGGCGGGTTCAAGAAATAGCACAAAGGCCAGTTTTAGTACAGGATGTGACTGGAGAGGTGGGCAGGAGTCGGAAGACTTGGGGCTTCATAGGCCATGGTTAGCAGTGTGGATTTAATTTTGAATGTGATGAGAAGCACTATGTGATTGGAGGGCTTTGAACAGGGCAGAAATATCACTGGATTTACATTCTTTTAAAAGATCAGCTAGCTAAACTGACTCATAAGCAGTAGTCATGAGGTGGGAAGTAATCCAGCAGAATATGGTGTCATAAATATAGCCAAGAAAAGAGTTTTTCAAGGAGGGAGTAATCCACTCAATCAGATACTACAACAGATTAAGTAGGTGAGTTTCACAGAGAAGTGAAACTGGATTTGACGAGACAACAGCTATTGGTGACTATTTTAAGAGTGGTCTCAGTTGAGTAGTTGGTGAGGAAGCATAAATGGAGTGAAATAAAGATGGAAAGAGAAGACAGTGAGATACTGACTCTTTATTTGAGGTGAGGACTTCTACCATATAGAGTGCAGAGAGAATGAACAGCAACTGGAGGGGGATGTGGGATGGAGAGCTTTTTGTTTTGTTTTTTTAAGAGATGGGAGGTATTATACCATGCTTCTTTGTTTTTTGTTTTTTTAAGATTTTATTTATTTATTTGACAGAGAGCCCCATGTGGGACTCGATCCCAAGACCTTGGGATCACGACCTGAGCCAAAGGCAGACGCTTAACCGACTGAGCCACCCAGGCGCCCCACCATGCTTCTTTGTTAATGGCAATTTTCAAACACACCCTGGTATGTGGCTCTCATCGGAAAATAAGCATTCAAACTGGCTAACTACTCCCTCTTCTTTGAAGAGCTTTCATCTCTTGGTTTCCACAACAAAGCACGCTTCTGATTTTCTTTCTATCTCTTGGCTGCTCCATCTCATTTTAACCTTGCTAGCTGTTCCTCTTCTAACACCAGGTCTCGAAGTGTCTGACTTCCTTGGGCTCCGTCCCCAACACTCTTCTCTGCACTCTATCTAGCTGATCTGATCAGACAGATGGCTGTAAGCACAAATGATACACTAGCAATTCCCACATTTGCACTGCTTGGTCAGACCTCTCTTCTGAGCCTATATGCCACCCCACTTAAATTTCACAGGCAATGCAAACCTTCTGTGTCTAAAGCCTTCCCCTCACCACTCAGTAGTGAACACTGCCATCCACCCTGCTGCTCAAGGAAGAAATGTGGATACCCCCTTGATTTCCTCTTACTTATCATCTATATCCAACCCAGCTGCAAGTAATATGTTTTAGGGCTAAAATCAATGCCTCCAATTTGTCTGCCTTTTTCCATTCTGTTGCCATCACTGTAGTCTCAATCCCTAGCCTCTCAACTGGATCACTGTAAGCCTCTGTCTACTGCCAATCCATTCTCCACAAAGCAGGCGGAGTGGTCTCTAAGAAAGCGAGCCAGATCATGTTCCTCTCTTGTAAGACCTTTTGGTTTCCCAAGCCTTTAGAATGAACCTATGACATGAGCCTAGAACAACCTCCCCCACAAGCCCCTGCTTACCCTATCTCCTGCTACGCTCTCCCTGCTCACTCCGCTTCAGCCACTGGCACCCTTCATACTGAGTTCATTCCTTCTGTAGGCCTTCAAACATGTTATTCCATTCTGCTCTACATAGCCTCCCTCCATTCTTTGCCTGGCCACCTCCTAGTCACCTAGTTCTCACTTCAAGTGTTACTCTTCCTAAAGAGGTCTCTTCTGACTTCCTAAAACTAACTTACGATCCTAAGTTTTAGTTTCCTTAACGCTAAAATGAGTTATGTGAAGATTAAATGAGATCATCCATGTAAAGTTCTTGGCACAGTAAGCAGCACACATTATGTACTCACAGTCAGTATTAGCTATTATCTTCCTTGTTCTTCTCACAAAACACATTATTGCCCTTGATAATACCTCCCACACTTTGTAATTATATATTTATTTGAGTATAGTTGATTAATGAGTGTCCTTCCTTTACACCATAAATTCCACAAGGGCAAGAATTACATATCTGCTTTGTTTCTCACCATATACCTAAAACCCAGACAGAATTTCTCACACATTTGGCATTAAAATACTAGATTAATGATCTATCACTAAATACGTCTTTGTTAAATGCCAATCACAAAGGGGTGTACACCAGGCATTAAAAGAAGGTAATTAGAGACATCTGGCTCAAGATGGGGAATTGAATCCATAATTTTACTTCTTTCTCTTCCCAAAAGTACACTGAAATGCTAGAATATAAAAATACTAATGAATGAAAAGCATATCTGGAAGGCAACAAAGAGTGGCATTAGTAGACCTGAAACAGGGATTTGCAGAAGACAATGCAGAGGGACTGACTGGACTGCGGCAGAGATCAATCAGCCAAAGAGCATCCAGCTGAAACACCTCAAGTTTAGAGTCAGCCAGGCCTGGGGATGAGAGTGGGCACTGGGGTAGCAGGATGGTGTTTAACCAAAGGTTTGTCAATGCAGGGCCAGCACATCCACAGGCTGGGTAACAAGCTGTGGTGCCCCATCCAGCCTCAGCTAGGAAAACAGCACCCTATACAGAGTGGAGGATTTGTCAAGAGAGTGCTGATGGCTCCCCCGCCCCCATATAAGTTGTACCGCCCCCATAAAAGTTGTACATATATTTTTAAACTCTGTATTATGGAAAACTTCCAAACTCACATACGTGTAAAGAGAACACTACAATGCATCCCTGTGTATTTACCACTTTACTTCAGGGTTAGCACTTACATGCTTTTCATCTCTACCAGGGTTTCTCAACCTCATGATAATGACATTTTGGGCCAGATAACTGTCCGTTGTAGGGGGCTGTCGCGTGCACTGTAAAATGTTTAACAACAACCTTAGCCTCTACCTACTAGGTGTCAGTAGAAAACCTCAATTGTGATGACCAAAGTCATCTGCAGACATTGCCAAATGTCCTCTGGAGGGAAAACCACCCTTAGTTGAGAACTACTCGTCTATGCCCACCCCACTGGATTTTATTTTTTAAAAATTTTGTTTATTTATTTGAGAGATAGTGAATGAGAGAAATCACAAGCCGGGGGGAGAGACAGAAGGAGAGGGAGAAGCAGACTCTCTGCTGAGCAGGGAAGCCGACACAAGGCTCAATCCCAGGACCTGGGGATCATGACTGGAGTTGAAGGCAGACGCTCAACCGACTGAGCCACCCAGGCGCCCCTCCACTGGATTATTTTAAAGCAAAGCTGAGACATATCATTTCAACTATAATTACTTCAATATGTAACATTAAAAGATAAGGATTCTTAATATAATCATAGTACCATTATCCTATTTATAAAGCAACACTAATTCCTTAATATGATTTAATATTCAGTTGCTGTTTAAATATCCCTGTCTCATAACTGTCTTTTCTGATTTGGTTAGAATTGGCATCCAGAGAGGGTCTTTACATTGCACGTGATTGCTAGGTACACTCAGCCCACAGACAGTTTCCTGGGTCAGCCCTGATGACAGAAAGGACAACGGTGGGGCCTGAGGTAATTCTAGTAGGCCACAAGACATGAATTAAGGGGAAAAAAGAAAGGAAGGCAGCTCCACCTAGAAGATAACAACATCCAACTTCCTAAACCATGACTGAACCCCTAGTTGAAGATGTGTTGTTTCTCCTCCCAAAGGGATACCTACTGTGAGCACATTCTAATCCACTCAATGCTCCA